AGTGAAGAAAAAAAAAGCTGTGGTACATTTACACAATGGAATACTACACTGCTGTAAAAAAGATAGAGCTCTTACCTATGGGTAAGCATGAATGGACTGTGAGATTATGCTAAGCAAAATAAGCCTGACAGAGAAAGAGAAATGCTATCTGATCTCACTTATATGTGGAATCTAATGAACAAAATAGAATCAGAAATATGGATACATGGAATAGACTGACAGAGGGTAAAGGAGAGGGAGTTTGGGAGCCTGGATGAAAGCAGGTGAAGGGATTAGCCAAAGAACATGTATGCAGACAACAGTGTGGTGATAACCGGAGGGAGGGGGGAGGGGGGCTGAGTTTCTTTTTTTTACACATAGCAGACCAGAATCCATTGTGTCCTATTTTAACTTACATGCTGAAAAGTAATATTATCAAAATAAAGCAGGTCCTCAAATAACATCCTTTCATTATAATGCTAATGAGATGCTGTAGGTACTTAACTCATTTGTAACAATTAGCTTGTGGCAAAACTGATTTCCTTGTATCATCTTTCACTGCACTGCCAAAAATTTACTGGGTAGTTAAGTGAGAAGTACTGTAATTCTGCCCCCACCCCCACAAAAGTGTGGACAGAAAGTGTGTGGGTGTTAGGGGAATAGGGGTCATTTAAAAGTTTGCAGCTATTTTCATGAAGGGGCGGGGGCAAGACCAGATTACTCAGGTGGAAAGACAGGAACTCTGTTCAGTAGACCAGAAGGCAAACAAAGTAACCACAAGACTAGAGAAAATTAAATTGCCAATTAGAGTAGAAATAAATGAAATAGAGTATAAAAAAAAAAGCACTACAAAAGATCGATGAAACCAAGAGCTGGTTCTTTGAAAAGACAGACAAGATTGACAAACCTTTAACAAGACTCATCAAGAAAAAAATAGAGGACTCAAATAAATAAAATCAGAAATGAAAGTAAAGTAACAATTGACACCACAAAAATACAAAGAATTATGAGAAATATACCAAAAAATTTGGAAATCTGGAGGAAACTGATAGATTCCTAGAAATACAATCTTCCAAAACTAAATCAGGAAGAATCAGAGAATCTGACTAGATCACTACAAAATAAAAAACTCCCAAAAAATAAAAGCCCTGGAAGGATGGCTTTACAGGTGAATTTTACTAAACATTCAAAACATTTCACCAGACTATTTCAAAAAATTCAAGAGCAGGAAAGACTCCCAAGGTCATTTTACAAGGCCAGAAGTATCCTAAATCCAAATCCAGATGAAGATACAACAAAGAAAGAAAATTATAGGCCAATATTCCTGATGAATACAGATGCTAAAATCCTCAACAAAATATTAGCAAACTGAATCCAGCAATACATTAAAAAGATTATTCACCATGATCAAGTAGGATTTATTCTGGGGACACAAGATAGATACAATATCTGCAAAACAATAAATGTGATACATCACATAAACAAATGAAGGATAAAAATAACATGATCATATCAACAGATGCAGGAAAATCATTTGATAAAATCCAGCACCCATGTATGATAAAAACTCAGCAAAGGGGGAATGGAGGGAATATATTCCAACATGAAAAAGGTCGTGTATGACAAACCCATAGCCAATATCATACTCAATAGGCAAAAACTAAAAGTATTCCCCTTAAGATAAGGAACAAGATGGGGATGTCTGCTTTCACCACTCTTATTCAACATAGTACTGGACATTTTAGCCATAGCAATAAGTCAAAAAATGAAAGACATCCAAATTGGAAAGAATGAAGTAAAACTGTCATTATTTGCAGATGACATGATACTGTATATAGAGAACTCTAAAGAGTCCATCAAAAAACTACAACAACTGATAAATAAATTCAGTAGTGTGGCAGGATACAAAATGAATATCTGGAAATCAGTAGCATTTTTATATACCAATAATGAATTATCAGACAGGGAAACTAAAAAAACAATCCCATTACAATTATTTCAAAATAAAATACCTAGGAATAAAATTTAACCAAGGATGTAAAAGACCTATGCTTGGAAAATTATAAGACATTGAAGAAAGAAATTGAAGATACAAATAAGTATCCAATGTTCATGGATTAGAATAATGAACATCATTAAAATGTCCATACTACCCAAAGCAATCTATAGATTCAACACAATTCCTATCAAGATACCAATGGCGTATTTTACAGAACTAGAAGAACTATTCCAAAATTTATATGGAACCACAAAAGACCCCAAATAACAACAGCAATCTTGAGAATGAAGAACAAAGTTGGAGGAATCACACTACCTGATTTCAAACTATACTAGAAGGCCATAGTAATCTGAACAGCATGATTCTGGCATAAAAACAGACATATAGACCAATGTAACAGAACAGAGAGCCTAGAAAAACCCCCCACCCTTTTATAGTCAATATTTGACTAAAGGAGGCTAAAACATACAATGGCTAAAGACAGTCTATTCAATAAATGGCATTGGGACCATTGGACAGATATGAGCAAAAAAATGAAACTAGACCACTTTCTTACACCACACACAAGAATAAACTCAGTCATGGCTGGAATGGTTCAGTTGGTTGAGCATCGCCCGTGTACCAGAAGGTCTCTGGTTTGATTCCCAGTCAGGGCACAGGCTCAATCCCCAGTAGGGGGCATGCAGGAAGCAGCCCATTGATGCTTCCCTCTCACATGAATGTTTCTCTCTCTCTCTCAAATCAATAAAAACATTATAAAAACAATAAACTCAAAATGGATTAAAGACTTAAATGTTAGGCTCGAAACCATAAAAATCCTAGAACAAAACGCAGGCAATAAAATCTAGGACATTTCTTGTAGCAATATTTTTTCTGATATAACTCCTCGGGCAAGGGAAACAAAATAAAAAACAAACAAATGCACCCAGCTGGGTGTGGCTCAGCGGTTGAGCGTCGACCTAGGATCCAGGTGATCGGGGTTCGATTCCTGGTCAGGGCACATGCCTGGGTTGTGGGCTCGATCAATGACTCTCTCATCATTGATGTTTCTGTCTCTCTCTCTCCCTCTCCTTTCCTCTCTCTGAAATCAATAGATATATTTAAAAAACAACAACAAACAAGCAAACAAACATATGGGACTACATCAGACTAAATATCAACAAAATGAAAAGACAATTCACTGAACTGGAGAACATATTTGCTGATACATCTGATAAGGGGTTAATATCCGAAATTTATAAAGAATTTATAAAACTCAACACCAATAAAACAAACAATCCAACTTAAAAATGGGCAAAAGACCTGACATTTCTTNTCAACACCAATAAAACAAACAATCCAACTTAAAAATGGGCAAAAGACCTGAATGGACATTTCTCCAAAGACGACATACAGATGGCTGATACATGAAAAGATGCTTCACGTCACTAATCACCAAAGAAACCCAAATTAAAACCACAAAGAGATATCACCCTACACCTGTCATGATGGATATCATCAATAAATCAACAAATAAGTGTGGAGAAGAGAACCCTTGTGCACTGTTGGTGGGAATGCAGACTGATGCAGCCACTATGAAAAGCAGTATGGAGTTACCTCAAAAAATTAAAAATGGAACTGCTTTATGACCCAGCAATTCCACTTGTGGGAATTTATCCAAAGAAACCTGAAACACTAATTCGAAAGAATACATGCACCTCTATGTTCACTGCAGCATTATTTACAATAGCCAAGATCTGGAAGCAACCCAAGTGTACATTAGCAGATGAGTGGATTATACAGCGATGGTACATTTACCCAATGGAATACTACTTGGCCGTAAAAAGGAAGAGCATTTTACCCTTTATAACCGCATGCATGGACCTGGAGAACATTATGGTTAGTGAAATAAGCCAGTTACAGAAAGACAAATACCATATGATTTCACTCATATGTGAAATCTAATAAACAAACTGAACTACCAAGCAAAACAGAGACAGATTCATAGAGAGATCAGGCAGACAGCTCTGGTTGGGGGATGGAGTGAGGGGAGGGGGGTGAAGGAATTGAGCAATAAAGAAAAAAAAAAGAAGAACTCAAAGACAGGGACAACAGTGTGGTGACTGCAGGGTGGAGGGGAGTGGTGGAAGTGGAGAAGGTATATGGGAGATAAATGGTGATGGTAATATAAATTAAAAAAGTAAAATGTAAAACAAAACTTTCACCTGAATTATTCATTAAGCTATTCAATTATTTTGTGTAGTTCTGTAATGTATGTGTTTTATTTTACAATAAAGTATTTTTTTAAAAATCCATAAAATAAAGTTAAAAGACAAACTGGGAAAATCACTCATATTATGAACAAAGGACCAATTTTCCCCAAACATAAAAATTAGTTCCTTAAAAACTGCTAAAAATACCAACAACCTAGTAGGAAAATTAAGCAATGACACAGAGCTCCCAGAACAGCAAATACAACTGGCCTTTCAACAAATTACAAAAGGTTCAGCCTCACTACTGGAAAGATAAAGGCAGGTTTTTAAAAACCTGAAAGATCTCTTCCTAGAGTTCATTTGAAAATCTAGGTTAGATATTATTCACTTTTTGGCTTAAACCTGCCAAGGGCTGCCCATCTACTCAGGTGTTTGTGTTTGTTAATGAAGTGGATTCATTCTCTCCTGATCTGTTAGCCATGCATGTTTTTTCCCTCCATCAAAATCAGTTTTGAGGATCTGGTGAAACTGAAGCACCTACCTCTTGTCCTTCCTGCCACTAGGGGTGCAGTCCTTCACTGGCAATGATTTATGCATGAGATTGCTCTGTTGTTTCCTAATATGAATTAATCTAACAGCTTTGACACTTCCCATTTGAGTGTGTCACAGAACAAGAACTGGAAATGGTTTCACAGTAGTGACTGAACATTACTCAGTTTGCCTCTTTAAACTTTCACACCTAACAAAATTAGGAACATACAGACTACAGAAATTTTAAGATGGGGGATTAGCTGACTTGGATGGGGTGGGAGTGGTAGGGGTGGGGCTACCTGTGAAGGAAGAAGGCCTGAGATAAAGCAGCCACACTGAAGAACAGCTACACTCATGGCCTTCCTCTGTGGCCACAGGTCAGGCGGCCCCAACCTCGAGCTGCTTGAGTTTCTCCTGGAGCTCCCGGAGCTGGCTTCGGCTCCATTTGATGTGGATCTGGAGATTGGCCATGTCTGCAGCTAGCCGCAGGCCTAGAGGAAGGGGAGAGATTGTCAGCATGGTATCTGTAGTGTGACACATGACTCAGGCAACTCTGGACATCCCCAGGGATTGGAAAGGTTCTAGGCCTCTCTGGCCTCTATAGTATTCCTAAAACATTCCAGGTACAGCCTTGCAATGGCTGCTCTGAACCTCATTGGACCCACACCCTCACATCCTTCAGGTCTTTGCTAAAATGTCACCTCCTCAAAAGACTTTCCTGATCCCCTTCTATCACCCACCAGGAACTAATAATCCACACTGTCTGATGCTCTTATTTTCTTCCTTCTTTCCTCCATTACCACAGTCCCTCACTCCTCCCACCTGTTTTCTCTGGTCCCAAGAGTATTCCACACTCTGGATTGACCTCTAGGTGGCTTTTGTCTGATGCCTCTGCTGGAATGGCTGTTGCCAAGTCCTATGGGCCCTCCACAGCAATCAGTCCACTGGCCAGTCCTGTCTTCAGCTGACCTGTCCAGCAGTAGAGAACTTACAGTCCAGGAAACACTTACTCCTTTCGGCTTCTGGGACACCTCACCCGCTCTCTGGGTGTTGCCCTTGCCCCACTATTACTTCTCAGTCTCCTCTAATGGTTTCTTCCTCTCCCTCACTTACTGTCCACATTCCAGACTCTCTGCTGATCTAATTCCACCTTAGCTTTAATGCTACATGTGTCAGCAATTTGGGAATTTAAACACCAGAGATATGCAGTGGGCTCCCAAATCTCTCTCTCCAGCTCAGGCCTCTTCCAAACTCTAGATGAACATGCATAACTGCTCACTCAGAATCTCTACCACACAGCACTAGGAACACAACCACACCCAACTCTGACACCCTTTTGGCTGCTGCTCTACAGTTCTCCCATACCAGGTGAGGGCAGCTCCATCCTCCCAGGATTCCTGGCTGGCCAGTGGGCTCATCCTTCACTGCTCTCCTTCCCTAATTCCCAAACTGATCTGTCAGCAAATCCTGGGGGGTTCCGTAGCAGGACGGTAAGAAGCTAAGAAAATTCCAGGGTAGGAGGAATAAGGAAACTGAGACAAAAAAATTAAAAAAGGCCAAACAGTTTGGGAAACTTGCAGCCAGTTTGCAGCAAGATCTTATCTTTTCCAGCCAAGGACACTGGAGAACAAATGGTTAATACCTCTCCTCCCTAACCAAAGAATGCAGGAAAGGATGGGGAAGGGAAGGGGAGAGAAGGGGGTTTATCTCACCCACTAAAGAAAGAAGTCAGCCATTTTGGGGAAGGGAGAGAGTAGGGGGAGTTTTTATCTCACTCCTTCAACAGAGAAGCCAGCAGTCTCAGGGCTTGTCAAGATAAAACCACCAGATGCTTCTCATAAATTCTGGGAAAGCCATAAAGAAAGGAAAAGGGAGACCTTGAGATCTAGTCTGTATCAAGATATCTGGGAGAGGAATTTTAAAACCTGTAGACAGAAAAGTATAAAATGCTAATCCTCCACCGAGCGGGGCTCCTCAGATTAGCTGAGTGCATGCCAGTGCTTTAAGTCAGATGTGTTTTAACAGATTTGCTTGTCTTGCTTCTTTGATAAATTTACTTGCTCTGCTTTTTTAATAAATTCACTTTACTACAACACTGCTGTTTGGAGTCATTCATTTGAAATCTTTCCTATGAGACCGACAAGAACTGAGGAGGGGACAGCCCTCTCCCTCCTACTCAGGGGGCTGTCTGATAACACCTTTTCTGGTGTTTTGGATGCCCATAGACAGTTCTACTCTCAAAACATGCAGGTTCTACCACTTACGCACTCTTCCACCTGTATGTTAAGCCTGGCTGCTCACTGGCGCCTGCTTAACCACTCTGTTTGTCTGTTCCACAGGATTCCTGTCAGGCTGCAAGTCTACCACATCACTCTCAAAGTTCTCAACAGAGCCTACAAAGCCCTCAAATTACCTGGGCCCAGACCCTTCTGACCTCAGCTCCTGGCTCTCTCTGCTGCACCAACTCCAGCCCACTGGCCTCTACTCTGCAATGCTCCGTGCAGTCTTGCCTCAGGGTTTTTGCCCTGGCTGGCCCCTCTGCCTAGAACACTGTTCCCCAAGATCACCCTCAAAACTCCCTTTTTCAAAGAGGCCTTTTCAGCCCACTCCTGTCCCACTTCATCCACCACACCCTATTTTTTTTTTTTTTTTTTTAATTTTTTTTTTTTTTTTTTTAAGTTTATTTCTCGTTTTTGTATGCTCACCACAAGGATATGATTTTTGTTTTGTTTTTGTTAATCCTCACTCGGGGATTTCTTTTCTTTTTTTTTAGAGTGGTGGTGTGCGGGGGAGATAAAGAAAGAAACATCAATGTAAGAGAGGCATATCCACCAGTTGCTTCCCCCCACACACCCCAACCTAGGCCAGGGATTGACCCTGCAACTCGGGTATGTGCCCTTGACCAGGAATCTAACCCCGGACCCTTTGGTATGCCAGTGGTGTGAGGCCAACGGAAGCCAGGGCCTCCACACCCTATCTTATTTTTGCATAACAATTCTCATTACTTACTTATTTGAAGGTTGTCTTTCTCCCCTCAATAGTATAACATTCTATGAGGAATGTTTGTCCCTTTAGTTTCCTGATGTATCCCTAATACCTATCATGAACCCAGAACACTTCCAATACCCAGTAAATGCTTTCAGAAAAAACAGCAGGCATGCAACAGTAGTCTGTTATGTAGAAAACCTGCAAAGCCCTTTGCAGACTAATCCCAGCCCTGGCATTAATGCTTAAGGGCTCCCTGGAGCTAGAGGGTCTGATTTTGGTTCAGGGACACATGGCTGACTGGCAGGGTCCACTTACCCTCCTGGAAGCTGGCTTGGGCCTGCCGCAGGCTGTGAGGAACCAGGATTCCAAACCAGTTCAGAGGGTTTTGGGGGGCTGAGGGCTCTGGCTCTGGAATCCTGGTGAGGCCCTTGCGCCTGCGCAAAGCTGGAGAAAGAAAGGGTAGAGGTTGGGGTTTTATTACCTGACCCTTGTCTTATGGGTGACACTGTTTTACTCTGAGCTCATGATCCCAGAAAATACTGATGGTTGCAAAATCTCCCCAACCTTTCATGATCTGTAAAACAGCTTACCACAAAAAAACCACTGTTCCCCCACTTCCATTCAAATGTGAGACTCTGTCCATAATTTCTTATGACTCTCATAAAACCAACCCTTGTTTAGACAAAGCCACACACTGACCTTTCTCATTTTGCCTGAACATGCTGAAAGGCCAGACAGACCCTCCAATTCCCCATTCTTTGTCTCATGAATGATTAGCTGAGATTGAAAGTTTGTCTCTCTGAAGAAGATAAACATTTTCTTTTCAACTGACTGTGACTTCCTCTGACTGCGAAACAATCACAACTATAAAGGACTTCACCTATAAGTCGTCTATTTCTCCCTACAAAAGTCTAAGGCAAAACCACTCTGCTTAGACATTTTGATCTTCATATCTGGGGCCTTCTCCCCATGGCAACAACTTGAACAAAATCATCTCCTCAACTGTATTGTCTTTGACATCGGGAGGGGTCCCTGATGGGAAGGAGGGGGTCTCACCTGCCTCACGGGGCCCCACCTCTTCTGGACTCTGGGCGCCGGCTCTTACCACACGAAACTTCTGGAGTCCATTTTGCGCCTCGCTAAAAAACGAGAAGGGAGGATGGATTTTTGACAGCCCGGCCTTGGAACTTGGGAACTGCCTGCCCACCCGTTTCAGCATGCAAGGCTCCTCACCTGGTACAGACGCAGACCTGGGGCTCCATGCGGGAGGCATACTGCAGGGGCCCTACCGACTTGGCACCCATGGCGTAGCGAGCTTTGGAGAGCGAGAGCCAGCCCTGCGGAAAGAGAGGGAGCAGTGAAACTCGATTTACCTCGGCGTGACCCCGCCGGCCCGCCCCAGGATCCCACCTCCTCCACGCGGGCGTTCAGCGCCGCCCGCTTTGTCTCCAGCTCTTCCAGGTCCCCGAGAAGGTCCAGTAGCAGCGAGTCCAGCTCCGCCCGTAAGTCAGGTGCCGCCATGGACCCACCACACTCTGATCTGGAGCCAGCCTCCTTCCAGGTCGCCCAATCACCGCCCACCGTGCCAGTAGTGTAGCCAATGGGCGCTCGACATCCGCTCTGGAGGGGCGTTTCCAGCTGTGGGCCCAGCGACCGCGGTGTGGAAGCCGTAGGGTCTCGGCTTCTGAGGGCAAGCGTCCTCAGAGCTGCAGCATTTTCGGACTGAGTAGTGGCTTTCTGCGCTTATCACCCCAAGCGAATCAGCCAACTGGAAAGTCGGCGAGAGCTGTGGGTGGTTCCGAGTGGCTTCTGGGAGCGAACGCATTTTAAAAGTAGGGCTGTCGCTGTGGCAATGGAAGGAGAGACCGCTTTAAATTTAATTTCAGAAGGAGCCGGTAGCGACCCTATGGGCTACCGTTGTGTTAGTTTTACAGTTGCTGCACTATTTCCAGCTGCCAATTACAATTTTAGCGCCACATATCTTAAAATTGGGCATCCTGCATAACCGCAACTAACGGTGACGCCAAAGGTAGACATCTTTATTAACGGCAGTCCTAGGCCGCCAAACATCTTGACACTTCCTCTGCTTATTGGTTGCTCCATTGAGCATGCGCTTCAGTACTGGCCAATCGCCTTGTGACTCCCACCCACTGCTTTTAGTGAACTTCAAATCACCTTCCTGGTTGAGAGCGGAAGCAAAGGCTGCGTAGTGCTGGCAGCGCTCACCGATTTTCCTAGACCCACGTGGAAGCGGCGCTCAGGATGGTAGGGATGTTTGAGCCCCTGTTTTGGAGGCTGGGAGTTCGCGGAGGGCTGGGGATGGGGTCCATGGACTAGGGGTGGGTGGTCCCCGGGGCCTGGGCCTGCGTGGGGAAAGGGGCTAACCCGACCCCACTGTTCCCCAGCTGCGCCGTGAGGCCCGCCTTCGCCGCGAGTACCTGTACCGCAAGGCCCGGGAGGAGGCGCAGCGCGCCGCCCACGAGAGGAAGGAGAAGGTGCGGCGCGCCCTGGAAGGTACAGTCCCCGCTGCCCGGCGGCGTCGCACCCGTCTTCAGAAAGACTGGGTTTGCATTTTAAAACCCAGTGGAAAGAAAGACCACGTGCTTTAATGATTTCTTTGGTAGTGTGGCTGGGCATCTTTTCAAGTGTTGGTCATTTTCCTTAACCTTTGGGTCCTCCTGTTGGCTTGCAAATGCCCCTCCATATCATGGCATGAATGACTTGTCATTTATGCTACAGTATCCGTATTTTACAACTTGCCTATTAATTTTGTTTACAATGTGTCAAGATCTCAAATTTAAAACTTTCACTATGGTCCTATAGACATTTCCCTCTCCCCCGTGGTTTTTCATCTCGCTACCTTTAGTACAAGGTAATAAGCATTATCTTACTGTCTTTTGCGGTACTATGAGTTCCTTACATTTTTAAACTGTTTATCCATATAGAATTTAATTTTATTTGCGTTGTAAGTTAGGAGTCTAACTTTGGAATGTTTTCCCCACTTTACTTTTGCCATGCTAATGAAGAGTCTGTCACACATGCCAGATTAGAAATGATGTATTTATTTATCCAATTGTGTTAGTTCTTGTGTTGTCCAAGCTTTGTTTCTTTTCTGAGGATGCATCAACTCAGTATCTGACTATTTTAAATCCACTCTGATGTTCCTGGTTGTTAGATAAGTAGTGTCTGTGTTTATGTGTGTGTGTGTTTATGCTAAGCATAGTGTTAAACACCTGTGACCTATCTGCCCATATTAAGAAATGGAAAAATGATCAGTATATATGGGTTGGCAAAAGTAGGTTTACAGTTGTTCATACGGAGAAAGACATGCAGGTTATTATTACAATAACTTTATTAACTCAAAAGAATGTCACAATGCAACTGTAAACCTACTTTTGCCCACCCCATATTGAAATTCAGGAATTTTTCCCACAACTTAGGTAACCTCAGTATTGAATATTGTTTTAAAATAAACTGTTTCCTTGTTTTTGTGTGTGTGTGTTTTTTTAATATCTTTATTGATTTCAGGAAGAGAGAGAGAGAGAGAAACATGAATGATGAGAGTCTTTAATTGGCTGCCTCTTGCACGCCCCGGACTGGGAATGGAGCCCATAACCTGGGTATGTGCCCTGACCGGGAATGGAACTGCGATCTCCTGGATCATAGGTGGATGCGCAACCCCTGAGCCACGCCATCTGGGCTCCTTGTGTTTCTTTGTGTTTATATAGCAGTTATTTGTGTTCCTAAATCATATTGGTTGATTTTTAGTTTTAAAGGTAGTACTAGGTTATATATGTTCTTTGTCAACTTTATGTTTTTGTTCAGCATTGTTTCTAAAATCCTTTGAGTATAGTGGAGATTTCCTTCAGGTGAATATGTTCCATGTGCAGGAGTTCCTCTAGGGCACACTTAGAAGTGCTGTTTCTAGGGGCATGGTCATGTTCAGCTCTATACTCCCAAGATGGACATTCCCACAGCCTAGCCCCTCTGCCAGGTCAAGCTTCAGTTCACACAGAGAACTTCTGACCCAGAGCATCATGATTGGCAGTTTTGTTGTCAGAGGGTTTCAGGATTTGTGGCCCACCTTTATTAGAAAGAACAGTCTAAAACGTTCAAGCAATGAAACTTAGGAACTGTAGAAAATTAAGTCTCCTGTGACCATTGTTAACTGGTTAGCATGTAGACAGAAATAGTCCCCCACCTCCCACCCCCCAGTATCATCTCTGCTCAGAAAGGAGTAACAAAGGTAATTTTTCCATCAGGTTTGTAAGCTACAGTGTTGTATTAATTGAGACCTCCTTGTATATGTGCCTCACTGGCCCCTCTGTCTTTCTGCAGAGAACCGCATGATTCCCACGGAGTTGCGCAGGGAGGCTCTGGCCTTACAGGGTTCCCTGGAGTTCGACGACGCTGGCGGTGAAGGTGACCTTCCCCGACACTCTAAGCTAACTCCTCTTCTTGCACTGAAGCCCACTGGCCTCCATATCCTTCCTCAGACACCTTGAGAAAAGGTTCTGTGACTCCTGTTCCTGGAACTGTCCCCCAGGAATCCTCATGGTTCTGCATTGATGACACCTCAGAGGAGCTCATCCTGAGTGCTCTCAATTCCATTTAGGGACACGTGGTATTACCCAACTTTTACTCTCTACTTTGCTTTGTTAATTGTCCCCCTCACTGGAATGTGAGCTCTGGGACAAGACAGTGTCCGTTATGTTCACTGCTGTTTCCCTAGCTCTCAGCACTTCATTGGCACCCAAATGTTGCACTCATTGTGTTATTCAACAAATATGAAAGGAATTGCAAATGTAAATATTTGTTATGAGAGATGTTACCTTTGGCCTTAAGAGAATCTGGACTTAACGCTAACACGATAGCTACTAGCCCTGTGTGATTAATACAGCTTAAATGAGTGAAATTAAATCAAATTAGAAAATTCAATTCCTCATTTGCACTTGTGCTTGTAGCCAATGTGGCTTGGGGCCACCTTATTGCCCAGTGTGGGTGTGGAGCGTTCTGTCACTGAATATATTGTCAGAGGTATAGCTCTGTATGGATTCAGCCACCTCCAAGTTAGTATTTCACTTCTCAAAATAATGTCTTGTTCTTTCCTTTCATGCCTCTGACAGGTGTGACCAACCATGTGGATGATGAATATCGATGGGCAGGGATAGAGGATCCCAAAGTCATGATCACTACTTCCCGAGACCCCAGTTCCCGCCTCAAGATGTTTGCAAAGGTACCAGTAGCAGGGAGTGGAAGATATTCAGGTATCAGTGGTCCGAGTCCTAACTAGTGTTTATACACATGTAGGAGCTGAAGTTGGTGTTTCCTGGTGCCCAGCGCATGAACCGTGGCCGACATGAGGTGGGGGCACTAGTGCGAGCCTGCAAAGCTAATGGGGTCACTGACCTGCTGGTTATCCATGAGCATCGAGGCACACCTGGTAAGACTGGTGGGAGGGAGCAGGGTGTTTGCTGGGTTGGCCATCTGAGAGCAGACATAGTCTCTGACAGCCTGTCTGGCCCCACCAGTGGGGTTCATTGTCAGCCACCTGCCCTTTGGCCCCACTGCTTACTTCACACTGTGTAATGTGCTTATGCGGCATGACATCCCCGACTTGGGCACCATGTCAGAGGCCAAACCTCACCTCATCATTCATGGCTTCTCCTCCCGCCTGGGCAAACGGGTGAGTCTGAGGCCGTGGGACTAGGGCTGGGGTTAGGGGATGCCAGACCAGGCATTCCCTGATCTCCTTCCCTTTGCCCCAGGTCTCTGACATACTTCGTTACCTGTTCCCTGTGCCCAAAGATGACAGCCATCGGGTTATCACCTTTGCAAACCAGAATGACTACATCTCCTTCCGGTTTGTCCATGGGCTGGGCTCTGGGATTGTACCCTGACTTTTGTGTCCTTGCACTATTGGTTGTTGACCTCTTGCTGCTGCCTGCCTTTTCTCACTCTTTTCCTGCCTCCCCTTGCCCCAGACACCATGTGTACAGAAAGACCGACCACCGCAACGTGGAGCTGACTGAGGTCGGCCCTCGCTTTGAGCTGAAGTGTGAGTTTGGGGCTTTATCTCAGGTCTAGTGGTGGGGGAATGCTGACTGTATAGGTGACAATGTCCTTGTTCCCCTCCACCAGTGTACATGATTCGCCTTGGCACGCTGGAACAGGAGGCCACAGCAGATGTGGAGTGGCGTTGGCACCCCTACACCAACACTGCACACAAGAGGGTCTTTCTAAGTGCTGAGTGAGCCCACTCTCTTGGGATGTGGGCTTGGACCCAGGAGGTGGGGGAGGCCAGAATAAAGTCGGTGTGCCACACTACCCAATTTGTCTTTGTTTGGTTCAGAAAGGCCTACTGTCAGGGTAAGTGTGAAGGGTGATGTCCATGGGGTCTTCATATGTGGGGACCTGATAGCTTGGGGACATTCTCAGGCCTGGTGTTGACATTGTGTCTAGAACAAAGCATGCTGGCTTCCTCCTGAGTTATTAGGAAGGTTTGGTGCTGCCCCTGGGAGAGCTGGTGCTGCTGTCACTCAGGAGCTCATTATCTGGGAGGGGGATGGGCACAGGTAGCAGGGCCTGTCACAGTTGCCTGCTACAACTATTGCTACCCCAGCTTTCTTTTTCATTTCCATTTGCATGAAATATCTTTTTCCATTCATTTGCTTTCAGTCTGTGTGTGTCTTTCGATCTCAAGTGAGTCATTTGTAGGCAGCATATGCATGGGTCTTGTTTTCTTATCCATTCAGCCACCCTAGGTCTTTCAATTGGTGCATTTAATCCATTTACACTTAATCATTGATAAGTATTAGTTATTGCGATTTTATTATTCATATCTTTATTTCTTCTTGTTCTCCTCCTTAAAGATGTACCTTTAACAGTTCTTGTAATACTAGTTTGGTGGTGATGAAGTCCTTTAACTTTTTCTTGCCTGGGAAGCTCTTTATCTGTCCTTCAATTCTAAATGATAGCTTTGTTGGGTAGAGTGATCTTGGTTGTAGGTCATTGCTTTTCATCACTTTGAATATTTCATGCCAATCCCTTCTTGTAAAGATTGTTGAAAAATCAGCTGATAGTCTTATGGGAGCTCCCTTTTACATAATTGTCTTTCTCCTGCTTTTAAGATTCTTTGTCTTTAATCTTTGACATTTTAATTATGATGTGCCTTGGTGTGGGCCTTTTTGTACTCATCTTTTTTTTGGACTCTCTGCGCTTCCTGGACATGTATGTCTATTTCCTTCACCTGTTCAGGGAAGTTCTTTGTCATTACTTTAAATAGGTTTTCAATTCCTTGCTACCTCTCCTTTTCTTCTGGCACCCTTATGATGAAAATATTGGTACACCTTATGTTGTCCCAGGTACCAACTATCCTCATTTTTTTTGGATTCTTTTTTCTTTATGCTGTTCTGATTGGGTGTTTTCTGCTACCTTGTCTCTGAAATCGCTGATTCAGTCATCTAATCTGCTGCACCCTGGTTTCTCGCCTTGGACTGTGGGGAAGTCTGCCCTCTGGTGTGCTTGAGGATTAAATAACTTGTATGGGTAAAAAAGTGCTTAGCACATCTCAAGTGCTCACTTTGTAGGAGCCTTTGCCACGAGTTATCAATATTCTAAACGTTATAAATGGGTTAGTGCAAGCCCTGCATAAGGAATGCTAATGTTGCCTTCTAGGCACTATCTACTACACATAAATGAGATGTTTTAAATATAACAACTTTGTAACAAATAGAAACATTATGCAAATATGTAAACACAGTATATGGTTACTTAGATATCAAATTTAGAAATATGTGATATACGATAAATGTATCACATAAAAATAAAATAAGCTTGATAAGTATATGTATATAGTTTATAAAATAAACACCTTTATAGTCATTAGGTGCAATAAAAATAGGTAACCAAATTTATGAAATAATTTTATTATAAACATAAATGTAAATTATAATTTTCACAAATTATAATTTCATAAAACAATAGAATAAATACAACATGTAGAGTTATAATTTATAATTATAATTTATTATAATTTATAAAATAAGCAGTTATTCAATAAGTTCCCAAGTAAATATAAAATACGTAGGAAATAGATAAAAGTATAAAATAAATCTAAATATTTTACAGAAATATAAAAATAGATATTGTATGTGAGAAATGTATGAGAGATGCAAAACATAATTTATTCGATATGAAAATGTACATACTAGATGTAGACATATAGCACTTAGATGGTATAAGATATGGTGCCCATTCAGGTCATGGTCCAGTCTGGGGCTGTGAGTAATGCTGAGGACCTGCTCTGTTCTAGGGAATGTTGGTTGGGAGCAGGGCCAGCCTCCTGCCAGCCACCTTCTTGCACTCACAGAAGTCTTTGGGCCTCTCTAGGCCTTGGTTTCTCATCTGTATAACAGAAATATCAATAGTGGTACCCACTACACTCGGATGTCCACAAGGATATAAATGACTTGATGGGCATAAGTAAAGCAATTAGAATGGTGGCTGGCACCCAGTGGTGGCTTAGTAGATGTTGTTATCATCCTGACTATGAATACCTGATGATGATAGTATTACGCTATTCACTAATTTAAAAAATCTAACAATAGTAAACTTCCTATAATATCTTGTTACATGAATAATGCTATACATTGGAATTCATATACATTGTATTCATATACATTGTATATGATATATCATCGTGTTATATTAAATACATAATATATCACAATCATTGTTTTCTATGTAATGGGTTGAGTGTATAGGGGGTCTGAGTTCAATGCTCACTTGCCACTTCTGGGGTCAGACTTTGTGCAGGTTGCTCAACCATGTGATGCCACAGCTTTCTCACCTGCACAGTGTGACGTCAATAATAGTACCCACTTTGAAGGGAGCTTGTGATGATTCACTGCCCTCAGCACAGAACCTGGCACAGGGAAAGTGCTCTGAGTCGAGTTGTATCATTACAATTAGCCTGGCCTAATGCCATCTAAAGACTAAACTCACCTTTCACAGGCTATGGCATGTGTCCCTATAAGAACTCTGACCTGTCCCCTCTTTTCCTCCTCCTGATCGGTATCCGGGCTGCTTAGACGTGTGCTCCACCCAGGCAGTGAGTCAGCCAGGGAAGTGTGGAAGAGTACAAAGACGTGCTGCGCCTAATACAGGGCTTCTGGGGAGCAGGGAGAGGGGAGCCAGCACATCTCCACCCCCAGACCGTGTCACCACCACACTACAGGTGCTGCCTCCACAAGCCTGGCTGGCTGGAGTGCAGCCCACAGGAGCACCTCTGTGGGGTCCCTGCTGGGTATGCCATACACTGACCCCCCCCATTGGATTTTATCCAGGAGGCTTATAAGACCTTGATGCTTCTGTCAACCCTAAATTCCACATTTCTCACTTCTCTCAGTGGCAGATGATCAGACATGAGTGATCCTCTTACTGCTCCAATAGGAGGGACAAGGTGACTACATCAATGGCAACTTTTTTTTTTTTTCGGAATTCTTTTATTAAAACTGGGTGACATTGATAAGGGGACAGTTCAGAAAAAAATTTGGTCCATGAAAAAAACATAATTCAGTTAATAAAAAGTTACCTTCACCAGGGACACTGTGTACGAGTGCTGAGCTTCCTTCTCATGGTTCCAGCCCCAAGTACAGAGGTTGTCCAGTGTCACTGGGGAGAAGCTTTCAAGGGAGGAGGTGGGATAATAGCAGGAAGGAGAAGATGGGGAGAGAATTCTGCTGTCCCCAGTGTGGAACCAGCAGGGATACCAGGCTGGGGGATGCGATTGCAGGAGCCTGAGGAGGGGGTGGGGAAGCATGGGCTTTGTCAGTTATGTGGGTTTAGAGCCCCTGCTTAAGGGAATTCCACCTCTGTGCCCAACTGTCTCCCACCCTGCTGTATTGAGTTTGCAAGCCTGGGAATCAGGGAAGGGGCAGAATTGGTGGGGCGACAGCAGGATCTTGGTAGTGAACTTAGCCTTTACCAGGGCACAGATGGAAGTCAGGACTTCATTGCCAGACAGTGACCCCTGCCTCATACCTTGCTGGACTTCTGGTGCCTGGATTGGGAGTTTGGGGTTAAGGTTGGCTTTGGGGGAGGGTGAAGTGGGGCCATCCTTTTGCCGTGTGCCCCCCTCCCACCACCACCTAATCCAAATTACCTCCCTCTCCTGTTACACCTCTTGTCTAGGAGAACCTGAAAAACATGCTGTATTTGATTTTTAATCAGAAATGCTTTATTTTCTGTAAATGTGTTTTTTGGCACTCATAGTCTTTGTTCTCCTTCCTCTTCCCACCTGCCCACATTCTCAGAGGAGAGAGATGTGGCAGAAGGCAGAAATCCTGCTCAGGACCCCTCAGGTCACCTTCCAGAAAGTACTAAAAGGGGAGGAAGAGGCTCCCACTTGGGGAAAGCTATTTCCTATCTCTGTTTTCTCATCTGTAAAATGGGCATTAACAGTAGTATCTATCTTTTCAGTTATGATGTGTTGGATTTAAATGGAAGATGTTTAGAACTGGCCCTGACATGTAGTAGGTGCCCAATAAATGCTTTTATTTCTTTTTTTAATGCTTTGCCCCACTTTTCCTGTTTCAAAAATCTTGTTCTGTGTACCAGCTGAAGTATGTGTCCTGGCCCGACGGGGGTCCTCAGCAATCCTGACCACATTCTCACCATGGTGGAGGATCCCATCATCTTCAGGGATCTGGCCCCAGCCCCCTTTGTATTTACTGCAGGTTAAGGAAATGGGTGTCTGTTGGGACAGAGGGGACTGGGAATGGGGGAAGGAGGCTTGGAGAGAGTCTTGCAGTTTGAATGCTTATTTTGAGTAACCTGAGGCCATACTTGCTCACATTGCATCAACTGAAATTGTTAGCATTTATTGAAGGTCAACTGCCTGCTGGGGAGTAAGCTCACAGTTGATGCTCAACAAATGTAAGCAATTAAAAAGGTTTCTTCTTTTAAATTAAAATCTGGGGATTCTGGGAATTAAATGGCCCCCAATTCTGAATGCCCACTTAAAAGGGCATGCCCTGAGCTCTGACTCTCGCATTTTAGCATGGGCTAAACAGGTGGATGAACAGGCGTCTTGTGTACCATGGATCATGTGAGACAGTTGCTCCTCACCCAGGTATCAAGAGGGCACACATGTATGCCTGTGCAGTTCAGTCCTCTGCCCATGAGGGCCTGCTCATGGGTCTTGTCTCTCTGCCTCAGATGCTCCCACCTAACTTCAGCCTCTTTGACCTGGTCCTCCAGATGCGGAAGCAGCAGCCTCCAGCTGTGCAGACAGAGGTTAGGTGCAACCCTCAGACTCTTTCCAAGAATACATCCCTCCTTTGCATCTTCCTTTTGAAACCAGACAAAAGATGGGTCCGGGCTGCTTGTCGCTACTTGAGCCAAGTAAGCAAAGACAGGGTTGAATCTTACAGGAGCCTTTGTTGCAATAACGCCGGCAGTAAGGCAGAGCAGCAGGTCATCCACAAAAATCTGCTCTACCCTCCCCCATAAGCCAGCTGCTTATATTGGGTAGAAGGACAGGTTACAGGAAATGCAGGCTCGGGGGTTGCAAAAGGTGGGAGCTTCCCAGACTCCACTGTTTTGGCAACAAGATTGTTAATCTTTCCATGATGATAGGCAGTTCTCAAATCAGGAGTGGACTGAATTCAGATGTTAATTCCCATGTCCTGGGGCGTATAGCTCCCAAACCAGGTCAGAATGTGCTTTTTCTAATCAGAACAGTATCATCATGGCTAACACAGAATGATTAATATTTCTGTCCCTAACACCTTGATGACCCCTCTTCCCCTGCCAGGAGCAATACAATTTCCTGTACCATACAGTGGCTCAGATGGTCTCAGAATTCCAGAACGTGAATCCTCATTCCCAGAACCTCAAGGAAGTACTAAGGCCCCCTTTCCATTCTTCCATGCACCAGTACATACCCTCAGACCAGGACCCAGAGCACAGGTGTATGACCACCACCATTATACATCCAGCCCCGGGCCTCCTTCTAGGAGCAGGAACTGACTCACTCTGGTGTTTGCCCTTGTCATCCTCCTTGCTGCCTTACCAGACTGCCCCTCTTTAGCTCATTCCACAGAGCCCACAGTGAGCTCCATCAGGAACCTGGCCAGTTTCCTTGAAGCCTCATGCCCTTCCCCTCCTGTCTTTCCTCATAATTGTGGCCCACTCTATGATGATGCCGTCTCCCTCCAGACTTCGCTAGCCCTTCCTGCCATGCCCACCCGGCCTACCAGGTGTACCCAGCTCCAGTCCCTCATTCTTCCTTTTCCAATTTCTCATGCTCAGAGGCTGATTCTTTCCTTGCCCTTGAAACACCAGACCATTTCTTGCTGTTCAGTTAATCAAATTCACTCACCCTTTCTTTGAATTGAGCTCTGGGAATCCACACCAAGATGACTACTTAATCCCAGAGATCCCATTACTCGTGCATCTAAGGCTTGCCCTGTGGTCCTATGTTAATCCTTTCCTAGCTCTCCGGTCATTAATTCAGCAAATATCTCTTGATGTTGCCCACTTTTTGGGCCTCCTGTTGTGTGCTGCAGACATGAAGTTGACTCTCCTTTACCTTAGAAATTATACACCCCTGTCCTTGAGGCGGCTGTCCATTTGACGCTATCCCTCCTCTTTTCTTTATTTTTGTTAATCCTCACCCGAGGGTATTTTTTCCATTGANTGGAAATTAAATTCTGGTTTTATTTTAGAGAACTGAAATATAATGTCCTTTCGGTTATTTTCCACTTTTTTTTTAAATCCTCACCTAAGAATATTTTCTTCCATTGCTTTTTAGAGAAAGTGGAAAGGAGGCAGGGAAAGTGGGGGGAGAGAGAGAGAGAGAGACATTGATGTAAGAGAGACACATTAATTAGTTGTCTCCTGAACACATTCCTACCAGGGTGACCCTTCAGTGCACAGGCTCTAACCACTGAGCAACACTTGCCAGGGCCCCTTCCTGCTCTTTAGATGCCATTTTCTCATTCTTTTATTCTATAAACAGTTACACATGTTAATGGTTATTGGCATCAATTTGTCACCAACAGGAACCCGCAGTTCAGGGTGTGGTGAAGAAGGAAACTTTATTCAGTGTACAACAGCTCAGTTGCGGTATAGCACAGTATGAAACCAGCACTGCTGTGAGGCAGCCTTAGGGCTAGGCAGGCCTGGGGCCAGGCCCCTTTCCTGCTACATAGCAGTCTGCTCCAGGTGGGCAGAGAAAGGCAGTCTTGAGTTTCAGTGGAAAGGGAAAGTATCTTGCCAGGGCGAAAGGGGAACCGGTTATATGGACAGAAATGCCCACATCTGGTCCCTAATTGGTCTGCTGCCATGCAAATGAAGACTCCAAATCTTCACAGTTTGATTAGTCCAAAAGGCACTGTTCCAATGGTCAGAGCAGAGCTGTTCTGGTTGGTCTGAGCTGCGCAACTTCCATTGGATGGGGAAAGTCTCAGTCCTATTGGTTAAAATAAGACTCCAGGAACTCCCTTACAAGGGCTGGCTCAGATGGCAGGAACACAGTGCAGCAGGCAGTTCACTGCAAGCTTCTCTGGGAAGTGCCCTTTGCAGTGAGAGGCCCCTGTGTAGAAATGCCGTTTAGGCACTGTTTTTTTAAAAAAAAGTTTGAGCCACCAGGAGCCCTTCTTAGGTGTCTTCTTTCTCAGGGTTCACACAGAGAAGAGACCACCCCTCAATACCAATACCTTGCCCCACTCCCCTTGGCAGTGGCAGTGGGGACAGGAAAGGAAAGCCCTTTACCCAGAGGCCCCTCCCTCAGCCCCCCTCCTCCACTCCCCTACCCCCAACTGTGGGCTGCCTGGGGCGGAAAGGAAGCCGGATGGTTTGTGCACCAGCGCCAGCGAGCTCCCCAGCGGGCCCTCCCTCCCTCAGTGGTTTCACTTCCTCCTGACCTACCCTGGGCAGGAGTATCTCCGTGCCCCTCCAGCCTTCGCCATGGCTGACACATATGCAGTGGTGCAGAAGCCCAGGGCTACTTCAGGCCCCCGGTCAGGGTCTGGGCTGTGCAGCACGGAGAGGGCACCGCTTTACAGCCCTGTGACCCCGGGCGCCCGCTGGCCGCAGGCACCCGTGGAGGAGACGCAGGAGGCACTGTTGGGCGGCGGTGAGTCTATGTCCACACGCTGGGCAAGGGGATGGGGAGGGCTTGCCCCACCTCCTTCTCCAGACGCCCCTGCTGGACCTCCACCCCCAGCCAGACCGGCCACCGCCTGGCTACTGCCCACTTGCGGGTCATGATCGGAAGTGTCCCAGTTCAAATGGCAGGGCCGGCAATGGGTGCGCTTCTCTGGGAAGTTACCTCGATCTGGCCCGGTGTCTGGGACCTGCCCCCCCTCCTCCCCTCTCCTTCACTCCCCAC